GGGAAGATGCTGACGAGATTCAAAGACTTTCTCAACAGCGAGAACATGAAAGCTGAGAGTCGGGCTGTCTATGACTGCATCCGAAGGTGCGGCGGGGGAAAAGGGGCCAGGTTGCATGTCTCTCAACTGCGCTTGTGAGCCACTGAACCGCGGGGCTTTCAAGTTCCAAGTGTTTCGAGGATTGTGTTGATTTTTTTCATACCTCTTGCTGGGGTCTTTATTTTGACAGTTTCTGGGGGGTGATCCAAGTCAGAAAATGGGGTTGGTTCCCTTTAACCCACAACTTAGGGGGGTGACTTTGATCATGGTAAAATCATGAGGCCAGTCTTGAAATCCCCAATCCAGCCGTTGCCAAAGGCCACGGAAGAGCTTTGGAAAGGACTCGAAAGTTGTGGCTTCAAGCATGCCCCTGTGTTTTGTTACGTCTCCTGTAAGGCCACCATTCTTTGGCGTCTTTGGCGCAAAACCGCTTCGTGTTGGGAGTTTGCCAAGTTTTTTGGGTCCAGATATCTACTTCGACACGTGTGAATCTGGACAGGCACATCCAGGAGCGCGCCTCAGAAAGACCGGCCCAGGAAGCGGAGAGGTCGTTTCAGGAGTGGCGAGGCATGACTGGGGTGGCTCTCTTGGCACCCGTTTTCTGCTGGTTTTAGCGGACAAAAACAGCCACACCTGTCGTTTTGTGGGCTCCCGAATTTGGAGACCCCTCACTTTTGGGGGGTAGTTTCAACAGTGGTTGCTTTTTTTCATGGTTGGGGTTCTCAGAGTTTGACTTCTGGGGGGCTTCAGAATTCACCCATTGAGGAGCTTGCCAGCTTCCTGCACGAGGACTGGGCTGATTACCACGACCCCGTGCACGTTAACGATGTTAGCCAGTGAGCAGCGCACGAAACCTCCAATTGGCCCTTCAGAGGCTTGGAGTTGCCAGTGAGAAGTAAGAAACATCCAATTGGCCAAATCAGAGGCTTGGAATCGCCAAGTAAGAAGAACGAGCCGATGAATCACAGGCTTCCGTTTCGAGCGCTGCTTCGTGGGGGCCGCGCTGCCTCCTGATCCAATGTACTTTACCCATGGCTTCGCGCTGTGCAAAGCGAGGGGAGGGGGCCGGCTGCAAGCGGTGGGGGGATACCACGGGGAAGAATATCATCATATCATATATGGGCATGCGCTAAACAAGGATTCCCATGCTCCTTTTCATGTCCTTTTCAACCCACCCCAAAAAAGCGGAGGGACCACTCTTGTGTTGTGTTTTACTTGGCTAGGACAAAGTTGGTTGCCCACAGTCGCAAAAAGTTTCGACAATGCTGTTCTAAGATGTGTCAGGTACAACCATGCACACATCTTCATTTCATCTCACGGCAAGCACTGGCTCAAAGGTCTACTTAGGCAGACACGAGCACAGACATGGAGGTAAATCATATGCTGCTTAGTCGCTTGACCACATACAAGAGCTTCAGACTGCACCAAACATTCTTGAATTCTTCCATTTCTACCAAATGTTTTGTTCAACTGGGTGAATTCAACAACTTAAGCTCATGGAATATGAACTCCACGAATGTGCAGAGGTCAAGGCTCCGGCTACGATGAGATGGCTCAATCCAACCTCCGAAAAGAGACATAAAACCTTGTGGCAGACAGCATTCCCTGTGCCAGAATGGTCTATTGTAGTGTCCAGGTCCGTATCAATCCTGTAGCAAATCAGATCTCCCCCCTCATCTTTGACGCTCTCTGAAGCTTTCTATACCGGCAGCGATGAAGCCATCCTGCTAGCTTCGCCATGACAGTCATGAGAGCTGACCACAACATGATCCGCGCGCCATGAGGCAATGCGTTTCGACGTGGATACTATGCAGTTTATGGGAAAGTCGGTTGTAACTGATCGATGAATTGCACCTGCAGGATGGTGTTTACTTGAGCCAAAGGGTCGTTTTGCCACGGCCACCTTTGGTTTTTGTTGGGAGGCTGTTGAAGAAGGTTGGGGACCTCTTGGACACTGCCGACGAGAAAGCATCGGATGCCGACTTGCAAAGCCTCACCAGGCTTGGCTCTCGTCAGCAAGCCATTTGCTCCGTCCCACAAGGTCAATGACTCATCCCTGCCATTTTGGGGGGCAAGATTGAGAGTTTTCTCCATGCGTTCTTCCTTGGAGACCGTTAACGTCATTGCTCCCACTTCTCACTCGTCAAAGGGCCAGCTGGATATGCGAAACCTCTTGATACCAACCGCCTGGAGGGGGTCCCGAACCTTTGCTCTTTCGGTAGCCAAATGGAAGGACCTCGATTTAAGCCATTGTGGTTTCCTTTAAGAGGACCCCAAAATCGGTTTCTTCCCAACACCCGGAAGGTCATTCCCTACTTATCGCACCAAGAAGTAATTTGAAGAGAGAGACACCCAGCTGGGATGATTGGACTGAGGCAAGTTGGTGATGCCTTCCAGGCGAAAGCGAAGGAGGCCAGAGATTGTTGTTGGAGCGACAGCCAACTGCGCCTCAGATAAGCAAGGAAACAAGAGAATCATATTGTTTGATAGTGTTGACTCTTGCAAATCAACAACACCTATGCCCCAGACTGTCATTGGTTGGTGGCGCCAAAAGTGGTAGTGCGTGCTCTCTCTCTCTCTCTCTCTCTCTCTCTCTCTCTCTCTCTCTCTTCTCTTTTGCCACTCTTGGTTGGCAGGTTTGTAGCAAGGAACAAGGAAACCTGTGTTCCCTTGTCCACTTAAAAGTCAGTATTGCACTGCGCGAGGCGGGCACAAAGCGCGTCCTGGATTTTGGCATCGTCGAGGCAGCATCAGAGAGGTTCTCCGCCGCTCGCGTAATCGGGCAGAGAGACCTCATTAACCTCGTGCACCTGATCCTTTGTAGTGGCTTACCCAACAACAAAAGAAGCATCGATCTTTCAAGGTGCACCTTGTTGGCTTACCCTTCCCAGCCACCCAGCCAGCCACCCAGCCAGCCACCTAGCCGCAACAGGCGGGAGGCGCGGCTAGTTGACTAGCTGCCTGGCAAGCTGGCTGGCGAGCTATCTCCTTATATGGCAAGGCTGGTTTCCAGAAGTTAGCTCATGCCGCACCCGAAGATGTCACTTTCGCATTCATATCGCCGCGCCATTTCGTCTGCCAAATCGAACCCTGCGCAGGGCCTGTCCGACCTCAAGAATCAGATCGGATCCGATCTCAAGGCCCGCAGAGTCTCTTTTGATTTGGAAAGGGTACCGCCCTCAACCAAGGATTCAAAATAAAAATGTATAAAACATATATATATATATATACATATATGCACTTTGCAGCTTTGTGCGTGTGCGTGCGTTTTTTTTTTTTTTTTCTGGGAAGAGCTTGCGTTGGTGTGGTTGCTGGTGTTTAGAATCTTGTTGTTTGGGGGTTTGGACTTGTGTTCGGCGCCCACACTCAGCGTCCACTCCTTTAGTTTTGGAGGTCAGATCAAAGCGCCAACAGACACGTGACCGTGGCTACAAGTACTGGCCGCGTCTCAAAACACGGGGGAAGCCCTTTTTGGGAGTTTTTTGTTTTGTTTTTGTCTTGTTTTTTTCTTTCAAGGGAAGCCTTGAAAGGACACTAAAACACCACCAGGCGTTCCCCCCAAACTTTGAGAGATAACTCCCGATTTCAATGAATCAAGAAGCGTATAAAAAAAGAAAGAAACAACAAAAAAACGGAAGTTGCTTGAGCTCGGAAAAAGAAGACCCACACTGATTTTGTTTTGTCGCTTCAAATCACAAAACAGGTTCTGTTTGGGACACTCTTCATTTTCGTGGGGGCTGATCTCAATGTCCATCATCAATTAGTGACTAGTGGGTGGGGGTGGGCATACCCACACGCTACCTGGTTTCAGGGCCGGTTTCTGTGATAATTTCTATGGGGATCCCTTCAATGTGCTAAAGTAGCCGCAGAAATCATTCGCTTTGTATGGCATATTATTTAGTTGCCACATTTTTTGATGTTTTTTTTAAAGGCATCTTATTTAGTTGCCGCAAACATGTGTCTTGTTTTATGGCATATTCTCCAGTTTACATTTTTCCCACCAAACGCCCCAAACTCCACTTCCTTGGTGCGACGGCTGAAGCGTTCCACTTCAAATGGCTGGATGGAAGCGATGGGCGGGCGGGCTCGAGGACTTGGGCGGCTCGAAGACTTGGGCCGCCGACTTCTTCGAGAAGGAAGCCGCAGGCGCCGAGTTGGGGGGGGGGGGCTGGGGGGTGGGGGAGAGGAGAAGGCCCTGCCTTGGGGGTCCATGATGTTGGGGCGTGGGTTCAGGTTCGGGGTGGGGGGGCTTTGGGTTGTGGGGGGTGGAAGGGGGGTTGGGAGGGGTTGCATGACTCTGTGCCAAGATGTTCCTCGACTTCTAATTACAACCAATTCCATGGTTGAACCGATGCAATTGCCAGTTCTGTGATCAAAGTCCAGCAGATTCAATGCACTTTGCACACTTCTCACTTGGCTTTAGGTGTCCTTTTTAGGTTTGTGTGGTCAAAAATAGAAGGCACTGGTTTAGACGGGCTTTATCCTTTTTCCAGGGCCATCCATTTTTCCAACAGGACACCTATGATTGCAAGATATTGCAAGTCCAGCTAAGGTTTCGCCGGACAGTCTGGTGGTCCCCATCCATCCCTTTGGCCGTATCGCTGCAAGCAAATGTCGCAGGTAGGCTGAGCCAGGGTCAAGTAGGAAACATGGCAGCTGATCGCTGGATGCGGTCGTTTTCGTTTTCCCTGTGGCACATCCGGCTGTAGCGTTCTTTCGATCGTATTTGCAACTCGGGTTGTCCCGGTATGTGACTGTCAGCATTGGGGATGACGTAGGCATCGCGGAAGATCGCATCATCCCATGCTGGTAGGGAGGGCAGCTCAACGTGCCATTTGCAAGCAGTGATGTAATCTTTAGGAGAGATCCATGTCTGAACCAAGTTGTTGAGTCCCCAAGTGCAAATCTGGAGGGTGTCTCCTTGCCCAGGCGAGAGAGAAGATGATGCCGAAGCCAGGTGTTCCCGCCGCCTTTGCCACTGTTGAGACGCCATGGGTATGGGTCAAAATTAAACCTGCAGGGGACCAGGTTTTGCTTCATGTTTCCACTGTTTAGGGCAAGGTACGTTTTTTTTTGACTCACGGCCACATGCCTTGCTTCAATCCGCCGAATCGATAGGCTGGCTGCCCTGAGGGAGCGCGTGGCGGAGCTTGAGAAGAAGGAGGCGCGGTCCATGCGATGCGCTCGGCGGCAGCGGAGCTTTATAAGGAGCCTTATAAGAATCTTTAACGGGGAGCCTTATAACGCTTATAAGGAGCCTTATAAGGAGCTCTGCAATGCGCCTTATAAGGAGCTTTATAAGGAGGCCTCAGAAGAAGCCTTTTTAAGGAGCCTTAAGCCAGGCGGAGACGCTGGAGACCCGGAGCCGCTTGGAGGAACGCCTGGAGGAGGCGGTGGGGCGATTTGTGCATGTTGAATGGGCGTCCAGGTGGTCTAGGCCAGTCTTGTGCCTCTACCAAGCACAAGCATCCTATGATTATGTTTTTTTGTGTCGATCCTATGAGTCGGTCTGATTTGTATGAATGTAATGACATCTCATTTCAGATGATTCGCGCATGCAAGTTTTCGGCCAATTTGAATAGTGCTGGAGGTACCCACTTTTTGACTTCCCTTTGCTTTCCCTGCCGTTTCTTGGTGGTTTCCCCTTTTCACATGGTGGCCTTGCTGGGGCTCAAACCTCCCCAGGTGCTGCTGGCGATCCAGGCAGAGCCAGAGGAAGAGGCTGGGGATTTCGGGGTTTTCTCATAGGAGTCGGTACCCACTGTGGAGGACGAAATCCTGCACCACCAAAGAAGAATGTGGGACGTTGTGGAGGCCTGCGTTTTTCAGTGAAAATTGCGGTTTTCCTCGTTTTTAGATTGGACGAATAGCTTCAAGAACAACACAAATTACAATCACTGAAAAACGCAGGCCTCCACAACGTCCCCTTCTGCCTAAGACACCCCGGAATCCCCGGAATGATGATTCCCCTGTAAGTACCAACGAACAATGGTTTCCCATGGTTTCAAAGTGGTGCAGGATTTCGTCCATCCACAGTATGGCTTTGGCTTCCTTTGCTTTTTCCCATGTAACTAGCTTTATTGCGACAGCCGGGAGAACCGGTTCATTGTCGTTGACATCAGCGTGTAATTACCACGAGGGGTCGATTTTCGAGAACCGGGTTCCCCTTTTAGAACGCATCGCGTGGATAGCAGCCCGCAATGCATTTTGGACGTGCGCAGTGTGTGGACTGCGTACTCCAAGCTGTGTTGAAGTTTGCTGGCAAACTGGATCTTCCGGAGTCTTCGACCAACGCATGAAGCATGACTTCCTTTTTGGTGTACAAACTGGGTGTAACAGCACCCTTTTCAGCGAAAAACTTCATAGTTTTCGATCCTTTTGCCCATCTTGGTTTTCCAGAGAAGCCAAAAGCATCCACCAGCGACCACCATTTTGGGATGGTAAAACCACCACTTTGGCTCGGGTACAACCAGCAGCTTCCAGTTCTGCCTCCTGCCTTCCGCCCGAAGGAGGCGCCCGAAGACTTCGGCAGCCTCGAGGCGCCGCGGATTTTTTTCCTTTCTCGCGCCGCGAAATGAAACGATGGAACCAGAAGGTTTCTTGGCGTCTCCCAGCCATCCGGTTCCTTAGCCTTTTAGCATCTTTTAGCCTTTTTAGCTTTTTAGTGTTCGAATTTCCATTTGGCCCGCTAAAAGTGAAAGACTTTTAGCGGGGGATCTGAGGACAGCCCAGGTTTGGTACGGTATTTTACATTGGGGGATCATTCTGAATGATTCCAGGGTTTCCTAGGTGCGAAATGGATTTCGCCCATCCGCAGTAGAAACCCAATCTTTCAGGACTTTCTACGGGACATAGGCGAAGTACACACCAAAAACAGGGAAATCCAGTGGAGGTTCCTGTAACTTTCTCGGAAAATGACCCACTTGTGGCCTCCGAGCGGATCCATTAGGGCAAAATAAAGCGGCGACGTCACGTTTCGGGGGAACGTCAGTGTTTCTTTCATAGGGATTCATGTCGCATTTTCGGTGGGCGACTGATTAATGTGCCAGGCCCATTGGTTCATTCCTGAAGACCTGAAGACCTGCAAGCAAAACACCTCACGTGTTACCGTGGGACTTCGGCGAGCAACTTCCCATTGACCTGCGTCATCCCCTGGCAATAGACGGTTTGCCATCAGAGATGCCAGACTCGGCCGCCGGAAAGCCAAATTCGTTGAACAATGCTGAATGTTGCAAATGGGATCGTGAACAAAGGCAGCCCATCACTTTTTGAATCCGATGGAGTCCGCAAGACTTGAGGCTCGGTCAAATTTGAAGTCAATGCCAGTTGGGAGGGGCATTGGACTCGCTAAATGTCTCACAAACAACATTTTGCTAAATATCCCACGTCCTCTTTGGGAAGGAATCGATTTTGACCGTGGCTCGTGTGCAATTCAAGGCTTGTGTTTCTTTACACAAACAGCGCAAGAGCTGTGCCAGAAGCGAACACTGCAAAAGAAGAGCCACAAGCATGAGAAGCAACGACGCCCAGCACTCCGGCAGGCAAGGAAAGCGACAGCAGCAGCAGCAGGAGCAGCACAACCACCACAACCGACACTACCACCACAGCCACAACCGTAACAGTAAAACACGGCACCACGCAAATCAGCCACAACCAGAATTGCGTCACACCCATGCCTGGGAAGAGGGGGGGGGACATTCACGTGTCTTTGCCTGAAGCAAAGACACGCGCCAGGCGATGCGGAACGAGTTTTCCCAGCTCCAGGCCCGGCTTTGGGGTGGGGTCTCACCGCTGCGGCGGTTCACTGAGACCCAGGCCCTTCTGACCCTGGAAGGGTCGTTTGAGCCATGCAGATCAACAGTCGCAACCAAGCCAGCGAAAACTTGCTGGTTCGATGGGCAGGGCATCAGGGAACTTCCTTCCGGTTCATTCCCGAGACCCGGTCTCGTTGTCATTCCCTATCGCACCAGCAACTTTACGCGGACTTGCGCTCGCGCCCATGCACGGCAGTGCGGTGCAGTGGGCGGTCTGTTCCGGCCTAGACAGGCCTTGCAAGGTCAGCAGCAACCCTTACGGGCCGAGCGGACGTGAATGTTGACAGCCCTTGTCGCATGTCAACAAGGCTAGCGTGGCAGCAGCCGAGGAAAACGCCCTTTTGGGGTGGGTGAACACCAAAAGAAAGAAGGTTAATGCCAGAAGCAAGGCGATCACCAAGTCCAAAAGAGCGGACAAGCGTGCCTACAAAGGTCCTAACATAGTGCATCAGCACCGTGACCGTTGGTCTAGCGAAGGCGTGCAGCGGCACCTGAAGCCCTGCAGAAGTCTGCACAGGGAAGTCAACGCATGACTTGGCCGCAAAAATGGTTAATTCGAGCCAGCTGACCGCTGTGCACTCATCACTCTGGCAGTCAAGAGCTAGGAACCAATCTCCAAAGCTCCTGAGGAAGTCCGGCGGGTACGACCCGAGGCTCTCGACGAGGCTTTGATGCCAGTGCAGTGGCAGCTCGTCCGCCCAGGTGCTGTTTCGTGAAAACCAGTTCTGACCAGGGCGGTTGTGAACCTCATCCGCAGCAGGGTCATCACTGGGATTTGGCTCTAGCGGCTGCACGGTTTGCAAAAAGCTGGTATAAATGGCCTCAAGGGCATCGCAAACGTTGCGCCAGTGCCTGAAATACCGGTCCGCTTCGTTCCAAGCGTCGTGGAAAGAGGTGGGCCTGCTTTTGTTAGCAAAAACCGCTGCTTTGTCTGCTGCGCTGTTGCCGACCGCCAACCATTCTTCAAACGGCGAATCGCATCGCCGAGGGTCAATATGGGCCGGGATCCAGTTGACAAGAACAGTGGAGCTGCGGTTGGTGCGTAGCGCGTCCTGAATGCGTTCCCAAATGTCAAAGTTCTCGGTGTGGATGGGGTCGATATCATCAATACCAGAGAAGGTCTCAGATACATATTGCGAGTCCGTCCAAACGCAGATAGGTACATCATGGTGCGCTCCCCACAAATTGCTGTTAAACAAGCCGTGGCTTCTGCTCGACTGATGGATTGAACAATACCTTGAAGTGGTCCAGCTGCAATTGTCACCCGTTTTCCGGCGTGCGTAACTGCCCAAGCTGCTAAAGATAGCTGTTTGCAAGGATGTTGAAAGCACGATCCGTCGGTGAAAAGCTGTTGTAGACCTGCACTGCAAGGTGTAGCAAAAAAATCAGTAGATAGGTCAGCATGTTCATGGAGGGCGTTCTTGATGCTGAGCTCAAAGGGGTTCCGAGGCACAAGCAAGTGGTTTCGCACACACTGCGGAAGCGTATCCCACTGGTCGCAAACCCATTGGTGTGGCTGGCGAGCTTCATCGGCGAGAACACAACTGACTATCTGGTGGCGAAAGTCGTTGACGGTACCACATCGAACGCAAAGGCTGCTGGCTGCAAGGTCGAACTTTGCGTGCTGGGCAGAAGTACGAAAAGACCCATCCTGAAGCGCAGCGAGTTGTGCGGCCTGCTGTGGTGTGCGGGATGCCCTCTTGTGATAACTGCACGCTGTATCGATGCCGTGGAGGCCAGCAAACGTGGGCCGGCCCTGTACCTGTTCTGCGACATGCTGATGCCAAGCGTTCTCGAGACGGTGCTCGAGTTCCCCATTGCTGCACGCCAGTAGATCAAAGACCTGGTTGTCATGATCAACTAGGTTGGGAGGCCGAAGGACCTGCCAGCGCAGAGGGGCCAAGACCTGTAGCAGCTTGGAGTACGGGCCTGGGAAAAACTGACCGTCGAATCGCTGCATGAAAAGCTTCCACTCGGCAAGATGCCCAGGCTGCTTGTAACACATGCGTCTGACGTCGCGCAGTACAACCTTGGCCTGGTAGAATTCAGGATCAGCAAGTAGCGGAAGTGATGCGGCAATTCTCAATAGAGGGTTAGCTCCGGCTCGTTGAATACGGAGGGAGCGAACTGCACTTGTTCGCAGCTTGGCCAGGTGGCTAGATGCAAGCAGGCAGGTACTGATGCCATGTAGGGCACGCGGCCAGAGGGCCTGCCATAGGACTGTTGCTCGTAGCAGAAGTGGGCCGGGAGCTCGCTTCAGGGCGGTCCAGGTGTGATCGAGCCCTCGACATCTATCGACAAGGCCAGCGTTACGAAGAACCTTGCCGTAACTCATAGTGCCTCCAAGATCCCGTGCTTCGCGCACAACAGGGAAAGGCAGCTGCTGAAGGCTTTTCCTGTGCGGGGCAGTGACGGCCCAGGCAAAAGACTTGTTGATGTCGATTGGCAAGTGGAAGAGGTCGCAGAATGCTTCGACTGTGCACCAGCTCCGGACAAGGGCACTCGGTTCGACCGCGACAACGGACAGGTTGTCAACGAAGGAGTAGGCCTCAGCGCCTGGGGCAAACTGCTGGAGGTAGCAATGATAGGAAAGATCTATCAGGAGCATGGCGATGATAGAAAGCGGGCAGCCTTCTGCAAATCCGTTGTTGGAGCGAATGCCCTCCGAGAGGGCTGACCGAACAATGAACCGGCGCTGGTTGTGCCTGAGAAAGGCCTGCCATGGCCCGAGAATGTGGTTGCCAATCCCGAGGTGCTCCGCGAGAAACCAGACTGGTGAGCGTGCCAAATTGTTGAAGCACTTCTGCAGGTCGATGGAGTATCCGCACATACTGCCGCCGGCCTGCGAGGCTAGCTCGATGAGTGCCTGAATGGCATACACTACCTGAGTGGTCTCCCGTCCCGGCAGAAAGCCGTACGCGTGGCATTGGAAGAAAGGCACAAGGTGGGAAAGCACTTCCTTGGCCCTGATGGCGGCCCAAGTGCGATAGAGCAGGCTATAGATGACGATGGGACGGTAGTCGTCGGGGCCCTGAGGGTTGGCGCCTTTGCCAATGCACCTCACAACACCTTCGAGGAGTTGAGCTGGCCAAGAAGTGGCCCCACGCTCAAGGTTATTGAACCAGTTGACGAGTTGATCCTCAAGGTAAGGGTGTAAGTGCAGGAGGTCGCCAATGGAAAAGCCATCGGGGCCCTTGGCCGCATGGGGCCGGTATTTCCGGAGAGCGGCTCTCCAGCGAGTTGTGGTCAGCGGCGTGTAAGGCATCTTTCCGGATGGGATGAATGCCCGAACGCGGCAATGCGCTGAAGGTCCGAAGCCGGGAGGTCGGCACTTTTGTTCCACCTAGACTGCCAGAGGTGAATGCAGGCATCATGAATGTCACTTGTTTCAGTGACAAAATCGGTCTGAGTGAGGGTCTGGCTGGGGTATAGGACAAAATCGCTGTCGACATGTAGGACACAGTCATCATGTGCCGATACATTGGCTGGTTGCCCTTCGAGATCCCAAGTCGAAGAGCTACATATGCTGACCTCCTTGTCGACATGAACCAAGTTGGTGGATGGTTCAACACCCAAAATTGTGTAGTGCTGGCGAACTGTGAGGGTACCAATGGAGGCTGGCTTGTCTTCCCTGATGAAGGCGAAGATTGAGCCCTGATTCTCGCTCAGCCGCACGTCAATGGCCCGAGCACGCTGGCGGAGATGCCAGGCCTCGAAGCGCCTGTAATTGGCGCGGAAATCCTGGTAGATAAGCTCGATGGTGTTCACGTCTGGCACCGCAAGGGTGACAGTCATAGGTGAGCCGTGTAGTTGGACCGATCGGTGGGTCCACCAGGAAGAAAATCCCTTGCTAAAGCCAGGGGCTTCATGGACTGCTTTCCAGGTTTGCAGTCTGTAGACAACCGCAGAGGCCGCAGGAGAGGCCGCCCGAATTGAGTGGCGAAGGCTGAGAATCCTTCGAAGTTGCTTGAACCACTGACGGACAGCAGTTCCAACGAATGAGGAGACTGGCAAGTCCTCCCCTTGTCTGCTGGGACGGAGAGTTGGTGCCGTAGGTGAGGTCATAGTTGGTGCAGCTTTGCGAGCCCTGCCTTTGCTGCGACGCGGCAAGCGTCCATCTTGGAAGCTGTCGCAGTAGCCGTCCAAGGAGTCTTCAAAAGTCTTAGCAAAAGAGCAGAGCCAGCGAGAGGAGTTGGCGTCCTCAGCAAGATGTAAGCTTTGGGCATGCCAAGCAGGGACATCCACATCCTGCCATGGTATGGAGGCCGGGTAGCTCCAGCTAAGGTAGCGCGGAAGGTGATCGGGGATTTGGAGGCCAACATGGAGCGAGGCGTGTTCCTGGAATCTATCCTGGATGACGACCCGTCGCACCAAAGCGGCTGCTTCTGGCGACAAGAAGATGAAATCTCGTTGGGTCACGCCCTTGCATGTGGGCAAGGGCTCTTGGCCCCAGAGGGTGAAAGCCAGTTGCTGCGCTTCCACCCATCCTTGTTGTTGCCAGCATTGTAGCTGGGGTAGTGCCGAGATATCGTGGTTCATATCTCCGACAATGATCCGGATTCCCTGAGCGCCGAAAACAACTTCCCGGGTGAGAGGTTGAAGCAAGGCGTCGGTAAGGGCAGCGGCTCCAGGGTAGGTAGGTCCGGCAGGGAAGCCGTACACCGCTGCTGTGATGATGGGGCAGCGATTGACATGATGGTGAGCGACAGTGAACCTTCCTGAGTCGTAAGCCCCGTCGTTGTTGGGTATTTTGAGCTCCTTGCTGGGGAAGTCAGAGGCGATCATGACGCCCGTCCATGACCCAGCCCAGGAGGAGCGCCCCCGTAGTGGGGCTGGTGAGCCCGTCGTGCAGCGGATGAGCCGCTGATGTTGGTTTCCAAGGGCGGAAATACGCCGCTTGCAGATAGGGGCAGTGCTGTGTCTCACTCAAATGCCAGATTCCGGGGCCGT